TAAAGGACATTATCTGATTATAATATTTAGAAATGGAGATGTTTATCCTGAACAAATAAAACTTTCTGAAGGGTTGTTTTATAGAAATCTTGAATTAAAAGAAGGTAGATTTGGGGCGCCTGGGTGGCTCAGTCGTTTAAGCGTCTGCCTTTGGCTCAGGTCATGATCCCAGGGTCTTAGGAGAGAGCCCCATGTCAGGCTCCCAGCTAAGCAGGGAGCCTCCTTCTCCCTCTCCCCGCTGCTCGTGCTCTCTCTCTGTCTCAAATAAATAAAATCTTTAAAAAAATAAAAATAAAAGAAGGTAGATTTTAGCTCAACACAAAAATAAGTGGAGATGTAAATTCCCAGTTATTAGAAGTCTCTCCAGACTTTTAAGATACCGTAATTTTCTAGGTTTATAGTAAGGACCTGAGAAGAATTAAATAATAGTTGCATATGACTCTTGGAAATAAAAAGTAGAGGGGTGGGGCAAAGAGAAGGAACATGCAAGGGGTAAACCTTGAGTATGATATTGTGTTGGCAGCTTATCATTCTCCTGTTCTTTAAGCTCCTGATCCCTCCATTAAGCTCCAGAGGTCAGATGCCCTTGCATGTCTTCTGACTATTGAAAGCCCCCACTGTGGTACCTTATTCAGCTCTCCCTTCTATATCCCTTTCTTCTAATGTGTTCTAAGCCAGTGCTGTCCAGTAGAGATATAACACGATCCATGTACGTAACTTAAAATTTTATAGTAGCCAAATTAAAAAATAAAAAAAATCCCAAACAGGTAAAATTAATTTTAGTTATTTTGTTTAACCCAATATATCTAAAATATTATTTCATCAAAATAAAAAAATTACAGAAACATTTTACATTTTTATTTTGTACTAGGTTTTTGATATCCAGTATGAATTTTATACTAATAGCACTTCTCAATGTGGACTAGCCACATTTCAAATATTCAATAGACACATGTGGCTAGAGGCTACCATATTGGTGCAATTCTAAGCCATTCCTAATTCTGTATACACACTTTATGCAGTTTAGGGAGAAGCTATGCTATCTGGTAAGAGCACCAGGCTATGAATAAGCAAATCTAGGATCTAGTTTTAGCTCTTCCTTTATTATGCTGTGACCTTGGTCTACTTATTTTACTTCTCTGACCCCTTCTGGTTTCAAAAGTATGTAATCTATGTTTAAAATAATCAATATGACAGTATGAATGACTAACTGATAGCATCTTTATGTTTCTCCACCTGGTCAAGTTCCAGATAGGACAGAGGATCTGGGGGGACAGTGGGCTGGGGCTGGGGACTACAGGAGGCTTACTTTAAATCACAAAATGGCCAGGTGCATCAGCTAAAGGTTGAGGGAAGTGGATAGGTCCTGGAGGAATAAGAAGTTTTCTATTTTAAAGACTCCTTCATTCATAATATAACCTACTTCTTGGGATATAAGATATCCTTGATGACATTATGTATATTTGCCTGTGGTTCCAGACTTTATGGTTACCCTACATAATCTAGAAGCCCTGACAGAAGGGAATTTACAGCCCCTAACTTCCACATGTGTCAATGGGAGAAACGGCTACTGCTCTAAATTCTCCTTCCCCATGATCCTTCCATGCGTCTTTCCAGGCTCCAAGAAACCCTCAGGATTTGGACCGCCTTTAGAATTCTGGGCCACTTCCCTACAGAAAATGGGGAAGGCCCAAACTTCTGTCTGAGGACAGCTTAAAGGATCTCGAGAGTGAGTTTAGAGAAACTTTGGCACCATTAGTTCTTTGGTACCTTCTTTTGGCAACTGACCCCAGAAGTTCATGATCTAGGAATTACAACCCTACTTACTATTGCTGCCTAATTACTACACACATAGCACAATGCCTGTGCGTATCATTAAATTCTTGTCAAATTAATTTTCTCTAAGATTTAATTTCAACACTAAATCCTGAATGGATTTATATGCAGTTTTCATAAGCTCATATAACATGGTCTTCTGCTCACAAGTTAAAAAAACAAGATACAACACTGCTCTCGTGTGATTCTTTCATGAAAGAAGAATACTTCTAAAGTCCAAATAATTAATATAAAATGTAGTCATTCTGAAAGTCTGAATATCTTAACAGGATTCCTTTAAGTAGGACACTTTCATGCTCAGTTTTGTGTTTCAGCACATAATGAGGGGTTACACATCACAGTATGTCTTTAAACTGTGGGCTGCCCAGACATGGTCAGAGTTTAGAAACAGTATCTTTTTAAAAACAAACTTTGTGATACCAATAATGTCACTGAATTAATATACATTAGCCTTTTAAAAAGGATGGAATAAATCGACTTTTAATAACTATTTTGATTACTTTTATTTAAACTTACCAGCAGCTGAACACTATCTTTTCCCAAAAGATGCAGAATCTTGTAAATGCTTGCAAAGATTAAGGGATAAGTGTAACCCCTCAATCTTTCTGTCCATTCCCAGGTCAAATAACCATAATTAGTAATATTAAGGACTAATGTTAAATAGCACTGAAACAAAAACTATTTGATTTCTTTGCATAAAAAATTTCTATTTTTTTGATAAAGAAGCTTAAAACCACAGCATTTTATACTGGTTATTTGAATTAAAAATGCAATTGGCCAATTAAACTCATAACTTCTTCAAGAAGGGAATGTGTTTTTTACTTCATCTATATCCTCCACAGTACTGAGCACTATGGGAATATCTGCTGGTTAAAGGTTGAGTCAAGTATATTAACATCAAAGAAAGGTAGAAGAAATATTAGTGTAAAATAATGGTATACTTTGATAAGTTAAAATTACTTAGAGAATATATGGAAAATTGATTGAAAATATATAATAGAAGCTGGCACAATTTCTAAGATGAATATACATTTCTAGTATGGACAAGAAACTACAAAGGATATTTGAAAACCATGTGATGTGCAACTTCAAGAGACTGCCAATATTCATCTGGAACAAAACTTGTCTGGACTAAAAAACAGTTACATATTCGTAATGCTATGGTAAACAAGACCAGATAAATGTTTTCACCAAGAAGATCTGAAAAACAAAACAAAACAAGTAATTGTGGCACAAAAGTCAGGCAAGTTCCACTTGCAGAACTAAAATCTGCTGCTCTGGTCGGCACCTTGCTCAGACTCTGTGAAGTAGAGAACTCTGGCCCAGCCACACTACTCTCAAAGCAGACCTGGGTTGACAGTTATACGAGGGCTGGAGCCTCACCGTTGGGAAATCACCGCTCCTTTCATTTAACCAATCTTTCTGCAATTGATTGTGTAAGGAGAATAGTAAGATAACACTGAAAAAGAGATACAGTTAACTAAGGCCTTAGGCTAATTAGGTGATATCCTGTATGGGTAGCTAATGAAAGAAATTAGCTAACAAATTACTAACTTAGGATCAACTCTTCTATATATATCAAACAGTCCTCTGCATGTTTTTAAATAGCCCTTATCGATGCTTACTCTATGCAAGGCGCTGAGTTCATTCCTTCACATGCCTCATCTCATTTAATCCTCCAAATCATGCTAAACGGTAGGTATTGGCCCCATTCACATATGAGGAAGTTGAGACGAAGAAGTTACACTGCCTTGTCCAAAGTCAAAAAGGTTGTAAATGACTAAACGGGATTCAAAACCAGGTCTATCTGCTGCCTCCATAGCCCTGCTCTTTGCCACAACTGGACAGCTTGCAAGCTGAATACAGAGGTATTTTTTTTTATGTGAATTTAGTTGTCAACATTAGAAATCCAACTTTATATTAAAATCTGTATTACAGCATTTCACAACTAAGATCTGACAACAAAGCTCAACTGGCAACAACTGGCTGGTTCTTTAATAGAAAGTGATTTATTTATTCAGACCCCTGTTTGGCCTCCTGAGTATTTGTGTTTGCATTCTAATCCATTTTGAGTCTTTTGCTATAGTTCTAGGTTCCTGCCACTCTCCTTCCTTATTCTCCAGAAACACATTTAAATATTTTTCAGACAGTTGGTACATTCAACACAACACACAGGCCCCATCTCATCTTTCAGAAGCACTTAAAGAAACACCCCGACTGAAATAAAACCCTTTTTATTTAATGCTGAAAGAAAACCCTTTTACTCTGTGGACTGGTGCAGAATAAACAGTACTCAGAGCTGGCCCCTGAACAAGTGATCTTGAATACCTAAAAGTTCAACTATATACCTGTGACACGTATGGTAATTTTCCATCGTTACTAACCTTTACCCTGGGGGATCCAACTTCTAACAACGGAAGGGTTAGGGGAAAAGAGCGCGAGAACTCGGGCCCAGCTACCTCTCCTCCTTCATTTAGCAAAACGATTCTCCCCTTTCTCGGTCTCAGGTTTCCAAAGGGAAACTCCGCATTCTTTTCATGCCGCTTACACTGTGCTCCGCACATACAAGGCGCAAAATATTTATTGAATGCATGAGAAGTCCATCTTTATATTAAATAACCCCGTCTGACAGATCAAAAGCCCACTTGTTGGGGTGATTTTGCTCCTGTCATCATCACATCGGACCAAAGAGAAGACGGGGGTGGGGGGTGGGAAAAATAAATGGGGTGGGAGTCAGACCTGGTTCAACCCCAGGAATCAGTCCCTCCGTAGCTGCGAAACCTTAGGTAACTCCCACCGCGGGAGTCCCCTTTCTAAAATGCGGATGGCTACGTCATGTCAACTCGCTTCGCACGGCCGCGGCAGAACTAACTGATGCAGAACAAAGTGCCACGCAAGCGGCAGGAACGGAGAATCCGGTCTCGAGTGCACTACGATTTCGTGGCAACCCCGCCCAGCAGATGGAGCCCTAGCTCAGGGTCCGCGGCTTCCCGCCACCGCCTGGGAGACCCCACCCGCTCACCTCCGCGGCGCTCGGTGCTCTTCCGGGGACTGAGGTACAAAGTTGACTTTCTCTTTCGCAGCTTCATCTTCTCATGGGAGCGGTTCTGGAGACCGCGGAAAAAAAGTCGGCCATCGTCGCCCCCTTGCCTCATTCTGCACCTACTTCGAGGTCTGCTGAGGATCCCCGGACACCTCAGTCCCCGCGATGAGGGAGACTGCAGTTGGAGTAACACGCGTTGCTCTTCCGCTCACTAAGTTTGGCCTCTGCAGCAGCCGTCACACGCAGGCGCGGAGGTAGCTGGGAAAAGGCAGCTTCCTCACACCGACCTCCCGAAGTTTGTGTCGCTGCGGAGTGCTGCAGGTTTGTTTGGCACGGGTAAGCTTTGTCGCGAACTCGCTTGCGCTTTTTCTTTGGCTTATCCTTCTCGTGGGATTGCTGCCCTCCTTTGGCTTCGTGGTCCCTGCGCCCTGTATTCTCTTCCGGAGACTGCTGGAAAGAGCCGCAGCTCCCCTAGGCTAGGGCAGACGAGAGGCGGGGTCAGCGACGCGGAGCGACAGACGAACGGTCGGAGGTGTTTAAGTGGTAATGATAATAGTAATGATAATTACGATTTCCTTCCTTCCCCCCTTCCCCCTTCCCCCTCCCCCTTCCCCCTCCCCCTTCCCCCTTCCCCTCTTCCCCCTTCCCCCCTTCCTCTCTCCCTCCCTCAGCAGCCGATGAACTATAGCATTCTTTGTAAGCTGTCGTTTATCTAGTTAACCGTCCAAGAGCAAACAGGCATTTCTTTCCTATATTAGTTTAAATTGCATTTTATTGATGTTAAGGACAATCCAGTTTCTAGTATCGGTTCTGCCACTAATGATTTCTGTAACCTCGGGGGCCGGTCTAGGAGACGGTGAAAGACTTGTAAGAAAATATGTAAATCCGTTACTCTGCTTTCCTCTTTCATAAACATCTATTTTCTCCAGAGACTATGGTGTTCCCAAATATAACTTTCTGAGAAATACTGGAGTCTTTACTCCTCAGTTGTTAAAAGTAGATCAGTCAAATCTTTATGTTATAAAAAATGTATGGTGATAAACATAACATAATAAAATAAAATTCAAAAAATGGATGGCAGGTTATTTACATGTGTTTGATGTGTACTTGTACCTTCTAAAGCATCAAAGGGAACTCATAAAATCTTTTAGCCTGCTTTAAAAATTGTTTTTAATTATGCATATTGCCAAAAAACATGAAATAGTAAAAAAGGGCAAATAATGAAAAGTAACAATTCTCTTTCTTCTACTTCCAGATTGGATTGGCAATCACTTTCAGCTTTTGGGGGGAGCTGTTTCTTTTAGTGGTTAGTTTTATGATGGTATGTAAAGGTATAAAGAGGATTTCTCTTCCCAGACTCTCCCCCACTTTTGCCATTTTAAGAATTATTTAAAACCATTGAGAAAATTCTATAATAGGATTTAGCTTTGTCTTACACCATCCCCTAATCCTCATTTGTCATATTCCCTGTATATTTATATTCCTATTTTAGTTAAATCAAGTGATATTTACATATTATGATGAAAATACTATTCGCTCTGGAAGAAAGTAGTGACCTGGAATCTTTTAAAAGAATGTTGTGCTAAGTTACTGCTTTGCTTTCCATTTTCTTTGTACACAGATCTGAAGATATTTCCTGGATGTGGACTGTAATTTTTCAAAAACACAGTGTGGCAAAAGCACTGTACGGCATTTGTTGAAAAATGTTTGGGAGATTGACTCTTCCACAACTGCTTTTTGCTAGCATCCTTGGAATTGCTGGAGGGATGTATATTTATCAACCAATATTTGAACAATACTACCGAGATCAGATGGAATTAAAAGAAAAGTTGAAATTGGCACAAGAATCAGAAGAGAAGAAAAGTTAATACTACATGGAGTTGAAATGTAATTGTTTAAAGTTCTATTGAAATTATACATTGACTATAAATAATCTAGTAAAAACTTCTCAAGTATATTTTAAACACAAATAATAGGTAATGATTTTAAAACAAGCACTGTCAATTTTAATGTTTAATTTTATTTGTCATTTTTAAACTAAAATGAATGTGTTAAAGAATATTTTGTTTCCCAGTTGACATTTATTTTTCTGGAAATGCAGCATATACAGGATCAAGGGATGACAAGACTCTATATATAAAATAGCTGGGAATGGTGTTTATAGTACTGGTTATAGATGAGTGAATCAAGTTAACCACCTCAGGCAGAATGCCCCTCAAGTAGCCTACAGTTAGCCGATTCAATATACTTGAGCAGTCTTTTAGCCCCAGGCAGAATGAAGGAGTAAATTGAGAATTAGGGTAGCTCAGGTCAAATTGAGGTTTTAGTTAAGCTAGATGGTATTATATAGGGTAGCAAATATGACACAGATCTGTTTGTTTGACCTAAGCAAATTTGCATTAATAATAGTGCAAAGGGTGGAACTAATTTGTTATAAAGCTATTTTTCATATAGTTACAATGTTTTTTTGAAATTTGAAATTGAAAAGTAATTTTGATAATTACTTTTTATTCTAATAATCTTAAGCTTGTATTTTCACTGAGAGCTATCAATGTAATCACATGTACAAGATGCTTTATTTAAATCAACTCATTTTTTATTATTGATTGCTTTTTCTTGAAAAGTAAATTTATTATAACTTAATCTAAGCTGTCTATGTTCAATGGAGGCCAGCATGGGTAATTTTTAAAAAAGGGAGTGAAAAAATTTACGAAAATAGTGCATGTACATTAAAAAATTCAAACAGTACGGGAATGAACAAACTGAAAGGTGAAAATTATTGTATACATTGATTTAATCAGCACCTTTAACAGTTTAGTGTAAGCTTTTGAGACTTTTTCTTCTATGCACATAAAAATATACATTAAGATTTTAGTTCATATACCAAGTGTTTACCATGTGACAGGCTTAGCTTTGCTTGAACTACACAGCTAGACTGGGGGTTGTGTTGTATGAGTCTTCTCATTGTGGGACCCAGGCTCAAGGAGAATCTCCTTTCTGGGATATGACAGAATATAGGATTGAGACAGAGAGGACACTTGGAGTTGTAAGCTTCTGCTCATTTGTGGCAAATGTCAAATCTCATATTCTGTTGGTTTAGAGCATGTCACATGGTCAAGCTCAAAAGTCAAGGGCAGGGACAGACTTTGTACAGGGTGCAGAGTCAAGTCACATGATAATAAGCAGGAATATACGATCCTGTTGTATCCAAGGAATGATAATCCTATCTAACATCAATTTAAATTGAACTGCTTTTGATCCTCCTTTTGAGAATGATGCATTGGTCAGTTTAGTATTTACATACCAAGTGGCAGAGAATGAGTTAATTTTTTTCTAATAAAAATATTGCAGCCATTTATATCAAGGTCACAATAAGATACCACTTCACAAACTTAGATGACTACAAACAAAAAGATGGAAAATAACAAGTGTCAGCAAGGATGGGGAAAAATTGAAACCCTGACAGGCTGCTGGTGGGATGTAAAATTGCAGTTGCTGTGCAACAGTTTGGCAGTTACGCAAAAAGTTAAACAGTGTTACATATGACTGAGTAATTCTACTTCTAGGTAGATACCCAAGGGAAGTAAAAACGTCCACACACAAATTTGTACATGATTGTTCAAAGCATCATTATTATAATAGCTTAAAAGGTGGAAATAACACAAATATCTATCAATGCATAATAAATTGTAGCCCACAATAGAATATTACTCTGCCTTAATTAATGAAATGGTGACATTTACAACATTAATAAATGTTGAAAACATGAAAGAAGCTGGACACAAGAGGCCATATGTTATAATTTCATTTATATGACATGGCTAGAACAGGCAAATGCAGAGAAAGATTAGTGGCTGCCAGGATATAGGGTTTCTTTTTAAGGTGATGAAAATGTTTTGGAACTAGATAGTGGTGGTCAGTGACAACTTTGTCAATATAATTTTTAGTATTGAATTGTACACTTCCAAACTCATTTTACAAGGCCGGCATTACCCTAATACCAAAACCAGATAAGGATGCCACAAAAAAAAGAAAGTAACAGGCCAATATCCCTGATGATCCCTGAATTGTACACTTTAAAGTAGTGGACTTTGCTGTGTGGGAATTAGATCTCAATAAAGCTGTCTTAAAGAAAAAGGAGGGATGCCTGGGTGGCTCAGTCAGCTAAGCGTCTGCCCTCGGCTCGGGTCATGATTGGGATCAAGTCCTACATGCAGGGAGCCTGCTTCTCCCTCTCCCTCTGCCTGCCACTCCCCCTGCTTGTGCTCTCTCTCTGACAAATAATATCTTTAAAAAATAAAAGAAAAAGGATAACTCTATCCAGAATAATGGCAATTAAGATAGTCCATTGTTTTCTGCCATAATCCATCTAGTTTGTTTTTTGTGTGTGGTAAAAAAAAATACATAGCATGAAATACATTATTTTTACAGTTTTTAAGTGTAGAATTCAGTGGCATTAAGTACATTCACATTGTTGTGTAACCGTCACCATCCATCCATCTCTAGAACTTTTTCCATCTAATTTTTGTAAGGCCCAGAGAGGTGAATTGAATGGGGATATAGAGACCCTTGGCCCACATCCTTCAAATCTTTGTTTTGTTTTTTTAAAGATTTTTATTTTTATTTGTCACAGAGAGAGGTAGACAGAGGGAGAAGCAGGCTCCCTGCTGAGCAAGGAGCCTGATGTGAGACTCCATCCCAGGACCCTGGGATCATGACCTGAGCCGAAGGCAGATGCTTAGCCAACTGAGCCACCCAGGCGTCCCTCCTTCAAATTCTTGAAGGTGGCATTAATGTCTGCAATTCTTTGCCTAAATTGCTTCTAATTTGCTTAGTCAGGGAAAGCAGACTCAGTGGCTTTCAGTTTGTTCTTTCTAAAATAAGGATTTGGTAAGGACTGAATGTGACCTCCCCCAAAACCCCTGGTAAAATTCATATGTTGAACCCCTAATCCCCAGTGTGATGGTATTTGGAGGTGGGCCTTTGGGAGGTAATTAAGACATGAGGGTGGAGCCCTCATGAATGGGATTAGTGCCCTCCTAAGAAGAGATACAGGAGAGATGATCATCCTCTTCACCATGTTAGGATATAGCAAGAAGGTACAAACGAAACGGGCCTTCTCACCAGGCACCAAATCCACCAGCATCTTGATTTTGGACTCCTCAGCCTTCAGAATTGGGGGAAATAAATACTTGTTGGTTAAGCCACCCATTTTATGGTAATCTGGTTACAATAGCCTAAGCCAGGGTTCTTTCTATGAGGTCAATGATCATAGTGTATGATCCTTTCAATGTATTGTTGAATTTGTTTTGCTACTATTTTATTGAGAATTTTTGTATCTGTATTCATCAAGGATATTGGCCTGTAATTTTCTTTTTTGTGTGGCATCCTTATCTGGTTTTAGTATTAGGGTAATGCCGGCCTTGTAAAATGAGATTGGAAGCATTCCTTCCTCTTCATTTTTTTTTGGAAAAGTTTGAGAAAGATAGGTATTAAATCTTTGAATATTTTGTAGAATTCACCAGTGAAGCCATCTGGTCCTGGGGTTTTGTTTGTTGGGAGTCTTATGATTACTGATTCAATTTCCTTACTTGTAATTTGTCTATTCCAATTTTCTATTTCTTCATGAGTCAGTATTGGAAGATTGTGTGTTTCTAAGAATTTATCCATTTTTCAGTGTTGTACAGTTCATTGGCATATAATTGTTCATAGAAGTCTCTTATGATCCTTTGTATTTCTGTGATATCAGTTATAACTTCTCTTTCATTTCTAATTTTACTTATTTGAGCCTTTTCTTTTTGGTGAGTCTAGTTAAAGGTTTGTCAATTTTGTTTACCCTTCCAAAGAACCAGTTTCATTGATTTTTAAATTTTATTTTTAGGTTCTATTTTATTTATTTCTGTGATCTTTCTTATTTCCTTCTTTCTACTAACTTTGGGATTTATTTATTCTTTTTCTAGTTCTTTTAGCTGTAAAGTTAGTTTGAGATTTTCCTTGTTTCTTGAGGAAGGCATGTATCACTATGAACTTCCCTACTAGAACATCTTTTGCTGCATCCCATGGATTTTGAATTGTTATATTTACATTTTCATTTGTCTCAAGGTATTTTCTGATTTCCTCTTTGATTTCTTTGTTGGCCTATTGATTGTTCAGTAGCATGTTGTTTAATCTACATATTTGTGATTTTTTTCAGTTTTTTTCTTGTAATTGATTTTTAGTTTCAGCCATTGTGATCAGAAAAGATGCTTGATATGATTTCAGTCTTCTTAAATCTAGTGAGACTTGTTTTGTGGCCTAACATGTGATCTGTCCTGGAGAATGTTTCATGTGCACTTGAGAAGCATGTGTATTCTGCTGCTTTTGGATTCAATGTTCTCTATTTTTCTATTAAGTCCATCTGATCTAATGTGTTGTTTAAAGCCAGTGTTTCCTTATTGATTTTCTGTCTGGATAATCTATCCATTGAGGTAAGTAGGGTGTTAAAATCCACTACTTTTATTGTATTGCAGACAATTTCTCCCTTGATGTCTGTTAATATTTGCTTTATATATAGATAGATACTCCTATGTTGGATGCATAAATATAATTTTTATATCCTCTTGTTTGATTGACTGCTTTTTCATTATGTAATGCCCTTTGTCTTTTAGAGTCTGTTTTAAAGTCTGTTTTGTCTGATATAAGCATAGCTACACCAGTTTTCTCTTCATTTTCATTTACATGGAATATTTGTTTTCATCTTTTCCCTTTCAGTTTGTGTGTGTCCTTACTTCTGAAGAGAGTATCTTTTAGTCAGTATATAGATGAGTCTTGTTTTTTTATCCACTCAGCTGCTCTGTGTCTTTTGATTGGAGAATTTAGTCCATTTACATTTAAAGTAATTATTGATAGGTATGTACTTATTTCCATTTTAATTGTTTTCCAGCTGTTTTTGTACTTCGTGTCTGTTCCTTTCTTCTTCTCTTGCTCTTTTCTGTGTGGTTTGATGACTTTCTTTAGTGTTATGTGTAGCTTTTTTTCTCATTGTTTTTGTGTATCTACAATTGGTTTTTCCTTTGT